CTTTAAAACTAATCCTTTAATATTGTTCGAAATTGCATATATAAGATCAAACGTGGTTGTATGGACGAAAATGCGATAGAAAACCCCTATTTCTGATGGTGTGTGCGACCTTGAGATGTAAACGTCCGCCGCTAGAAAATATAGCCCTAAAATTCAAACATTGTGTGACGTATTAAAACCAAATAGAGCCTTTAGAGGATCAGAATTTCAACCAGACTGATAGCGATGACAATTACGCGGCTATGACTATGGTGCCGAATGTGCCCCATCAAATGCCGAAGCTACCCCGGGTTGGGGCACATTCGGCGAATTTGACTTTTTTTACAAAACTGTAAAATTTGTTAACTAATACTATTTTTTTATATCTTTTTGGTACTATTTTTTATAATTAAGTGTCAGAGGACAATAATCAACTATAAAGTTCTTATATGTGTTGAATAAGTACTGAGATATAGAGCTCTAAAAAAGTGCCGAAGGTGCCCCAGTCTCCCCTATTCACTTTGATATGACAAAAATAAGCCTCATCGAAATAGACCCTATGTTTTTTTGGACCAAATCCGTTTCAGAGTACCTAAGATGACTCTCGAAGGCTGTAAATTAAAAATATGCACACCGTAATATTTATTCCAAACTACGATCAGGGTTGAAAATGGAGGATATCGGTCCACTCCTTCTGGTAACATCCCCACAAAATGTTCAAAATGTTTTTATTTATTTATTATGTTATTATTTTTTATTTTTCACTTGAACGTACTATCCAATTTAAATTAAACTTTACGCAACATAATATTATAAATATGACTGTATTATGTTGTTGAGCCGATAAGTGTCATATCACTTATCGGCTCACACCTTCTAGTATCTCTCCACAAAGGGTCAAAGTTCTGAAAACTTGTGCATCTCTTATGAAGCGCACGGAATATCAATATCATCACAACTTTGCACATCGTAATATGCTTACATTACTCGATTATGTACGGACATGGGAAAGGTCGGTCCTATCCCTTCATGTCCCTCCCCTACAAAATTTTCAAAATTTCAAAACTTTTATATTATATATGAAGCGAACGGGATACTCAATTTCATCGAACATTTTTTAAAACTTGTACATCTCTTAGGAAACGATCCGAAAATCCAATTTCATTGAAACATTGTACAAATTTTTGCAAATGGTTATATTTTACAAAACCTAATTCTCCGATTCTATTAAAAATTTCTCTACCCTCCACCACGTGGTGTTCAGATTGTAAAACTGGGGTACGAACTTCAATATAGACGGGAAATTTGAGTGGGGACAATTTAAAAAAAGTAACCAGTATTGAATAATTTCTGGAAATAAGTTTTTTTTACCAAGTTCAGCAGGAATCGGATAACCATTTCCATGGAAAATATTGGACCTATATAGACAATATTTTCCAAAATGTGTTTTACTCATTGGGAAAATTCAGCTAAAACCTTCAAAACACTGATAAGGAGACACATCGCTGAGAAAATGCGACTAACTTTGAATGCGAAAATACCGAAAATGGGGTTGTCCCTTGTTTGGGAGCTATACAAATTTTTGGTAGAAAGAGATGGCACCCCAATTAAGGCCACTTCGGAATACTGAATAATGGGGATACCATTATAAAGGGTATACCTTATCACCTTGTAGTGGAAATACACAAGATATTCAATTTCCGCAATGAACCTAATTTTACTAGATATATTATAATATGGTCAAACTTTGGCATGATTTAGACATTTATGATCCGGTATATTGCACAGCTGGGATACCATATGTATATTTCATGGACTTCGAAATTTTGTTGATTATTAAAGAGATCAATCTACTAATCGATGTAAAGAATTTATTTATTTGATCATTGTTTTCTTTCAGATCTTGATATATACCTCATAGTTTTTAAATCGTTTAAGTTTTCAACAAAATATTGTTCGTGGTGAGCAGTCTACTTGTTAATATGTTGATATTTACTTAAAGTAAAATATATTTCCTATATTAATGCAATTAAATTACATTTAATTTAATACGCAGTCGAATGTCTTTTTGTATCTTTTAAACAATAAATCATATCTCTGATTAGTTAGAACAAAATCCATTATATACACAAATTTAATTAAGTTAAAATAAATATGTTGTCAATTGGATAATAAATTAATAAAACCGTACCCAATAAAGGCTCTACAGCTTACAATGTTCTTTTTACAATTATTATTTTACTTCAAAACCATTAACACTATCTATGGCCACGAAATCTACCATAACACTTGGATATACAGTCAGAAAGTCAGTCAGTCTGTCTGTCGCTGTGATTGCTTGTTGCCTCATTCGCTTGCTTGCCTGCCTGGCTTGTCTATGCCATCGTTTTAGCCACAAGTAAAAAGCCCCCCAAAATAAATAGAATATCAATCAATTAATGCCATAATGAACATTTAAACAAAATTCAATTCAAACCAATTTGTGGCAATGAACACAGAGCAGGTGGAAAAGAGATAGAGAGCTCGGGAAAGAAAGAGAAAATAAATTAATGAAAAAAATAGCTATCAACTCTTGGCCAAATGTCGTCGTATGTTGGGCAAAATGCCAAACAAAACAAAAAGCACCGAGAGAAGAGACATTGCAAGTTATACATAAATTGTGGTGATATTGTATACATACACACGTGTACATAACTTGTATGTAGTTGTAAATACAAGAAAAGAAAAAAAACACTCCCAAAACACCCACCATGTCTTTGTTTGGTGTTGTGTGATAGAAAGTTTAAGACTTGTTTGAACCGAGAACAGCATTTACACCAACAGCACAACAACAACAAAAGCCCACAAATAATAATTTTATGAGCTTAAATTGAAATAATCATGAAAACTCCGCCCTGCAGTCAACGCAACGCAACGCTGAGAAGGTTAACAAAAACGTCTCCTAAATAACTTAAGGAGTAACAAGATATTTCGTTATGTTTACTCTCCTTGCGAAAACATATACAGGCAACAACAATTTACGTAGAAAATTGATAAATTGAAAAGTCAAAAAAAAACATTTGGGTCCCACCAACAACAAGTATAAAGGAAATACAAATACAAATTTCCCAGTATTTTTCGTGTAAAGTGTCTAAGAGCAAGACATCGCATACATCAACATGTATATATTTCTCTCTTTCTTTCGTTGATTCTTTTTTCATTGAGATAACTTCATTCGGTCAGCCATATTGCTATTCGTGTGCATCACTGAGAGCACCTCACACCACTATTCTAAATCGAGAGCGAGAGAGTGTTAAAGAATGCCAATTGATTTTATGCAGTCATTTATGAATTATGTATGGCAAGAGAATTCATTTACCTTTGACTCGGCTCTGTCGACGCCAACGACGGAAGTTGTTACGGTAAACATGCACCGTTCAGCCCAAGAAAACTCTGAGCAACCAACTCCCATTGTCAAAAAAGAAAAAAAAAACCAACAACAACATCGGCACATACACACGAACGTAAACAATCGTAACTTTTTATAGAGTTGAGTGTTTGTTAAATTGAATGTACGACGCCTGAGGAATAAAATTAAATGTTTTTGGTTTTATGAATTTTTGTCTCTTTCTGATTGGAACTGGGATCTATCGCTCTTTCTCTTTCGCACTCACTGCTAAGGTCCATTGTTACAACAAAACAACCTTAAGGCAATGTGAAGTTTACGTTCTCGTCTCATAAGAGAGCAGGGTACTTAGTTGAGTGTGGCTGTGTGAGTGTGTGTGTGTGCGTTGTGTGCAAGCAATCATTGGATGGTTTTTAGTATGCAGCAACAATGGCAACAATCTTGCACACCACACCCCACACAAAATGAACATAGACCAGCAACAACAACAACAAAAAGTACTACTAAATACTCCATAATATTGTGGCGCTGACTGCGCTGCCTCTTAAATAATCTACAATGCCATTCGTTTCAATAACTCAGCTCTAGTGGTGGTTTTATTTTCTGGTTCTACTTCTCCTTCTCTCGCTCTCTGCCACAGACTATTTGGGTGCCCGTTGTTCGTTCGCTCCTTGCTAATGATGTTGATGGGTGTTTTTTTTTATTTTTTTTTTGGCTGTGGGAAGATGTGTATGGATGGATGGTGGTGTTGTTGTTCGGTTGGTTGGTTAGTGGTTGGTGGTTGGACACATACAATTTGTGACTCGCTTACTTGGCTGAATGGTGTTCGCTGCAGCTCTCAGTTCAAATTGAATTTTCATTGTGAATGTTTGTTATTCATTTAACGGCTCGAAACTGTAAATTTCTTTTTACCGTCGGCGGTTAAGTCCAATAAAAAACAACAACGACAAGAAGAAGAAGCAACAACAACTTACCGTTTTTATCTTCTCTTCGAATCAAAATTCTTATTGGAATCCAGTTTGAAAACCAACCAACCCACCACCCCGTTATAGCCGTGACAATAAAACAAGAATACAACACATCCTCAGCTTCTTTGGCTGTTAGTCGTAGGAAACAAGTTCAAGCATAAAGAGTGTGTTCGTCCATCAGTGCGGTGTGAAGTGAAACGATTTTATTTTTTTTTCTGGTATAAAGAAACACAAAGTGATGACACGATGAGAATTTATTAATAAATAAACCGGATATTCAATAAAACAAATAGTTTAATTAAAATAATATTTTGATGGACTTGGAATTTTAATGGAATTATAATTCGTTTGAAACTGAAACACACAACAAACTCCAAAGAAGTTTAAAAGCAAAAGTGAAATAATTTATGTTTAATTAATAAAAATTAATACAAATTTATAAAAAAAAAGTTTATGTTGTGTTATCTCAAGTCAACGTTGTCCTCCTATTCCATATTGCTGCAACAATAATGGTTTTGGAACAACAATCTCAGCAGCCAACAGCCCAACAACATCCGCCCTCACCACCACCACATCATCCAGTAATTCCTCAACTACATCATTCCCCTTTGGCCAGACAATTGTCTCCTGTGTCGCCGGTAAATCCTTCCAATAACGGCCCTAGCAACGGTATTATACCGTCAAATATGCCGTCGGAAGCTTTACATCCTACCGCTGCCCTACAACTATACGCCGCTGCAGCTCAATTGGCACCCGGTGGTGTACGTGTCCCACCATGGAATCCATTTTTGCAATTTGGAGTACCGGGTGTATTTGGTGGTGCCCCATTTTTGGGTCGTCCACGATTTGAAAGCAATGGACCACAAAATGCCGCCGCTGCAGCCCAAATGGCTGTGAATGCAAGTAATGCTTTTGCAAATTTAACCGGTTTAAGTGCAGCTATGAGAAATGTTTCGGCGGCCCAGACAACAGCTGCCGCCGCTGTGGCCTCAGCGGCAATTCAACATCGTCTTATGATAGGAAATCGTCAAAATATGCCACCGACGGGACCACCAAGTGAAGGATCAAACGATGATGCGGGTAAGTTGGTATTTTGGGGCAAGGATTTTTTTTATGTGGAATAAATTTGGAAAATATATGATATTTTGGACAGATATGAAAAAATTAATATTTTGGGGCAACGATTTTTTTTGGAATACATTTGGAAAATACATGAAAGTTTGGATCGATTTAAAAAATAGTATTTTACAAATAAATCGAACATTCATGTTGAGGAAACTGATTAAAGTAGTTTAGTCAATATTTTTATTTTGAAAAAAGTGCAATAATATACATTTTTCAAAATAGTCAGGGTAAATCGTATTTTTGTTTTAATAAAATACAAAGATTTTTGTATTGGGGATATTTATTTGACAGTTCATTTAAGTTTTTATTACCCGGTCCTAAAATTGAAAACTTGATTGATTTGAAGTTGAAGATATTCCTTTGTATTATTTTTAATTGTTGTTTAACGTTTGAAGTTTCAAATTGGGAACATAACCATTCCCAAGAATCAACAATAAAACAAACAAATTATTATTTTTTTTATTGATTTTCATTCAAATCCAATTCCAACCAAATGAAAATTAATGTCAAAGTTTACACTTGTCTTATCGAACTGATAATAGCAACAAAATCACAATCACAGCAAAAAACAATTTTCAATGTCAAGTTCAAGTTCAATTAATTTTCAATATTAAATAAAGTGTGTTTTGACTACATAGTATATTGTTTTGATTGATAATGTTAACAATGTCGCGGTAATGTAATTAATTAAATCATTTTTTATTCGCAATTATTGAAACCATGCAGTACAACATTTTGTATACAAATCAATTACATATTAAATTAATTAGGAAAAAATAAAGTGAAATAAAAATGAATAGAAAACAAAAATAAATACTTAATTATTAATCATTGAAATGAGTTTAGCAGTATAAAATGATATGGAATAGTTAAAGGCCTTTTAAACAGATAAGGTTAAAATAATATGGATTACAATGGACATGGATTAATTAAAAAGACGTTTTGTATTTGGGAAAATTTTCAATTTAATTTCCATTAAGAATCTTTGGAATTTTATCCTTAAAATTAATCGAAAAACGAGTAAAAACGGTGAGGATGACTATAAAAATATCTATAATCATGGAGGCTTCTAGAAGAAACTCATGTTATGACAGAACCTTGAACATACCAAAAATACGGGGATATAATAAAACGGAGATCAATATTGATATTGATAGTGGATTTGGCCGCCAATGAGAATACAAAACACGAAAATACAGCCAATTCGATTGAAAAAGTATCCAAAATACTTAGAATATCGAATATTAGGGGGTACCGTTATAAAGGGGCTACCCTGAAACATTGGGCAATATTAATAATTTTTAGTACAAGGATGTGCTATGCAATGAGAACCCAAAATACCAAATTACAGCCAATTTGATTGAAAAACGTTTTCATAATCTGAAAAATACCGATTGTCTTATAAAAATGTCAAGTAAAAAACACAATAACTCTTGAAGATATAGCCGATTTATTGGGTCAGCATCAAGTGACGGGAAGTGCGCTACTCAAACTTTAAACTGTTTTTTCTTGAATTAGTGTAATGGCATGGTAACTCAAAAATAATCGATTCCAAATTTTAACATGCTATTCTGAACATACATAGTTATCGTATGAACTAGGATAAATCTAATCGGTGAAGATCTTCCCTATATTTCAGGTTGCAGCTTGGCGATTTTCAAAAAAAAAAAAAAAAAAAAAATCATAAGTTCTGCCATTTGGCTAATTTTCGAACGAAGTCAATAAACATAGTTCATATGTAAATTTTCTAATAGTGTTTGAACTTTGAAATTCCGATGTTTCACTGACCAATAATCATGCCTCAGAAATTAGCTGTATTAGGGATATTAACACAATGACCAAGAGCATTTGTTCTTCCACGCCTCAAAGTCGAGCTACGGTCACCGGTTTCGAGCACGGAATCTGTTAAGAGTCGGGAAATTATTATAGGTGTATTCATTATAGATAATTTGGACAATCCTACTTTTCGACTAGTAAATAAAAACAAATATTTATGTAAACACTTTGCAAGATACAGATACCATATCTTTTTTTAAAAAATTTGTATAGAAAATATAATTCTATCATAGCAAATTGTAATTAAATATAGATAAAAAATACGGATAATTATTTTTCAAAAAATTTTGCAATTTAATCTCCTTCTAGGCCAATATACCTACCCTTTACAAAGGATATACTTCAAGGTTCAATTAAGACCTCTCACATTATTTCCAATTCCCCAATTAAGATCTCTCACATTATTTATGCACAAATTTCCCATCCCTTCCTTTTAAAAATTAATATGAAAACTTTTCAGGAAATTAAGAAACAAAGCTCTTAGAAAACCACATTATGGTTTCAATTTGTTTTTTTCTATTTTCAATAATCATTATCGCATTAGGGGTTTTTTATGTTTGCCATTATTACCATATGGGAATAATAATTAATGACTACTCTTAAATAATGATTAAATCATGGTATTAATAATATTTTATATACACAAAATACATGTTAGCAGCTTGTGATATTTATAAACGTTCATTGTTTATATTTGTTTCTTAAGTTAAAAAAAAACAAATCCGATTAAAATAATTAAAAAAAGACGATATGACATTTTTGCCAATATTAAGCATTCTCTTTTTATAGTTATTCAAATACAACTTTCAATAAGAAGTTAGTTTTCATTCATTAGATTTTCAAATAAAAAAGAAATATAAATATTTCAATAAGCTGCTATTAACATCAATTTCAATACACTTACAAACACACAAAAGCACAGTGGTAGTTAATAAAACAGACTTATCCATTTCCAATACACAAATTGTTTAAACAACATCAAAATACATAAATTCATTTTTTTTCTGAGTTTGAGATTTTTATATAAATAGAAAATAGATTAATAAATAAAAAATAACAACAACAAAATTTAGGAGTGTAAAACACTCACAAACAATGTAAAAATGTCTGCAAACATTTATTTTATTTGCCAAAGTTTTTAATCATTTTGTGATTTTGATTTGTTTTTGTCGCTGTTGTTGTTTCTTGTGGCGTTTTACAACATGCCGCCAGCCATTAATCATTTTTTACAATAAATTTTGCACACACATATGAGAAGAGGCAGAGGCAGGCGAAGAGAAACGAGTGAACAATGTATTTGGAAAAATTGAAAATGAAAATTATACACTCACACGCACATATGTTATAATGATATTTTGCAGTTTGACTGCCATGGATGGTGGGTTGGGAAGAGCCAGCACACATCATCAATTTTTTTGTTGGTTACTTTGATACCTACGTAACTTTCAAAGTCCCCGGGTACCTCTAACTACAGCAACCCGCCTGCTGTCAACTGCAGAGAAAAGCTTTGTCATAGATCTTAGTTAAGAAGCATGCTGCACAATCAAATCCGTTGACACCTCTACGACATCATCCAATGCCTATCAACATATTGGGATATTGATGATGGAGATGATGGCATGAATGATATCCATGATTTGATTTCATATTCCTACATTGCAACTATTAATTTTCAAAATGCTTGAAATGAAATTAAAAAAAATCCTAAAAAAAGGAAAGTCAAAAAGGAAAACTCATTTCTTGTGCATATGTGTGTGTGTGCTACTTATCATCATCATTTATATTATTGTGCTTTTCCTTGTTAGCCAAAAAAATGGTGCTGCTGTTTCGTTTCTTTCTCTTGTTCTTCTTCTCCTTCGCCGTTGCTCTGAACGGAAATGAGGAATGTCATAAATTGAACAAATTCATTCATCATTCGACTGGGTGTGATTTTTCAGTGAATTGTCTTGTCTATGTCCATAATTGAAATAACAACAACAGTAATATCTACAACAAATCTAATATCTAGAGAAACGTGAGAGTATGAATTATGAATTTTTAATTAGTTTTTAGTGAATGGACATCAATCATTAAATGGATTTAGTTGAAGGATATTTCCGTTGATAAAAATATGGAGAAGGAAGAAGTATTTTTATGGAAAACAAGTAAAAACGATGTTAAGTTTCGTTCGGGCGAAACTTTTTATATCCACCACCATGAGGATGAGATTCCAAATATCTAAAATTAGTGGGGGTTCCCAGAAGAAAACTCATATTAGGGTGGGGCCTTGAACATACCGAAAAAGATTTAAAAAAAATATGATTTAAATTCTCACAATACCTAATACTGGGGCTACCTGTATATACTATACCAAAATGGCGATCGATATAAAAGATTTTTGGTATGAAAATTTGATAGCCAATGAAAATACTAAATACGGCTGGAAAACGTATACAAAATTACCAAACTACCGACTTGGGTCAAGCATTATATTTGAATATTTGGGGGTACCATTATATGGAGCCTACCCTGAAACTTGGTTCAATATTAATTACTTTTTGTAATGAGATTTGACACCTATTGATAATAGAAAATATCAATTTACATAAAATAGGGAATATTGGGGGGTACCGTTATATTGGGGCTATCCTCAAACTTGGCTCAATATTAATAAAAATAATAGAAAAAGTATCAACACGGGTCCACTTTCGCAGTAAAATATGCAGAAATTCTAAAGAAAATCGATGCAATTCCCCTTGGAAAAAAATGTTACCTGGGATGTCACAGTCCACGATATCTATAAAGGCTCCGAACTATTACATGTATTTTAAATGCCCACCTCATGATGGAGGGTATAAAATATTCTGCCCTGCCGAAATTTAGGACGTTCAGTCAAATTCCACAGCATTTTTTTTTATTTTTTTTCTGTAAATTTATTTCCGAAGAATCAAGTTAGACATTTTAATATTTGCTCGGTACTATTAAAAAATGCCTTCTGTTGTGCAGATCCGATTTTGTAGCAAATGACCTCTTCTAATTGCCTTCCCTCAAATGTAATAGAAATATATTTTTATACCGTACACAACTATGTTGTCAGGGTATTATAGCTTTGTGCAGCCACAAGAGTTTGTAACGCCGCG